CAGCCGGTTGCTCAGTACGCTAAAGTTCTAAATCAACAGGTTTGCGGATTAGCATTTCATCTGCAGCTGCTTTCAGACATTTTTAAGAAAAATCCAAAATCAAAAAAAAGGTCAAAACCTGTGGGGCGTTCAATCTGCACGGAATGTGGTGACTGTCGGAAGTAGTTTGAGTGATAGCAGACGTCGAAAGCAACCACCTGCTGGAACAGCTGTCAGTGGCAGCCTTTTTCGGAAGTTGCTTAGAAGCAAGCTAAAGGCTGATCAAACTTCCTGGCATATGTCAGTACCAATTTGCCGTCATGAACAAATCGTAGAGGGTTTGACTGCCCCACCAACGAAATCGGATCCCCGGCTTTCTGCATGCAAGCAATGCAACGCGTAGTGGCCGTAACTAAAAAGGCTAAAATTTGATAATTTTTTCCATATTTTTCCCTGATCAAATTGTAAATAAATATTTCAGGATGGAACAAATTCGTCCAGCGCAGTCAAAAATAATTTTGGCCAAGTAATAACGTTGCCCAAAATTGGTCGATATATTTTTCGTGAGCTCTGCAGGTAAGCTTGAAAAATACTGCACCAGTTATCCTGAGCTGAAAGAATGATGCCCTATCCTGATCAGACCGAATTCGTTTGTTAGCTTCAGCTAGAAGGGTACAAAACGTCATTAAAAATCAAGGACAGATGAAAATAATGGGTAATTGAAAATACTACGGTATTCATTGCACCTGGGTAACGGAAATAAGGTGAAGAACAGAAGAGAACGAAAATCAGGGAGTTGAGATTTTAAAATTTTCACTCCGAATCATATATAGCACCAAAAATTTAGATTCTGCTTTTAAATGTTGGTTTTGTTCTAATTTGTTTTTTGAATCCTTATTTTCAAAATACGCATCTTTTTGAAATTTAGTGAGATGTGTCACTTTTCTGGACAACGAATACCTTCATTTCTGAAAGTATAAAATTAGTTTTAGCACAGAAAAATGTATTCATCTGTGACGTAGATAAGTCCACAGACTGAATATCTCTGGTCGGTCATGAACTAACTTGCGACGGAGCTAAGACAATAAAATTTTAGGATTATCAGAGAATTTGATGAATGCGTCTATGAACTGCGTCAGCAATGCCCCAGACATGTTACTGTGACACTTA